ACTTTGCTCCCCCAAACTATAAGTAACTTTCAAATTATTGCAGATATTAAGGAGGGCCGAACTAAAAAGGTGCCAGAAAGGAAGTATTTCTTTTTTGTTTGATAACAGTCTCCAACTTTACAAACCATTTGCAAGTTTTTAAACATCCAAACATCTGTAATCAAGCACTGACCTTCATGCTGACAATGAATCACCAGCATGTCACGGACAACTGGTGAAGGGCCTCTTACAATCTGGACTGTTGCATGAATGCTGTTGTGGAACGAGCCAGTAGTAAGTGTACCAGTCATTCCTATATGGCAAATTCCCATAAGCCTTTTAGTCTTTGAAAAATTTTTTTTAGGGAGTGTCCGCACCATAGGAAAGAAATGTTTTTCAGTGCTTCCACTCACAGTCAAAAAGCAGAGAACAAGTCCCACAAGAAATATCTGAAGTGGAATTGTTTCCAACTAGTTGTTCACAGATTTTCTTGGCAACATCTACCGCCCCAAAGGCTCTTGCCCCTGCTGAAACGAATGATTTTCTTCACTGCTGTATGGGAGAGATCCAGCTGGTACTGGGGGTGGGTGGAAAGCTTAGGGAGCCCCTTGCACAGGTTGGAGTACTCAGACACTCCTGCCTTCATCTGCCCCTGCAGTGAGCTCCCATGGCTCCCGCCAGAAAAGACGTCAGCCCTGAGACCTTTCCATGGGAAGAGCCTGCAGTCGCCTGCCTTGTGGCAATGAGGCTGCTTGCCCTGTAGACCTGGTCAAGCTCCCACTGAATTCAGCAGAAACAAGCTTATTTAAGAAACCTGAATACACCTTGGCTCACACTAAAACTCACCCCTGGGGCTCTTCCACTCAAGTCACCCAACTTACCTGCCTGTCAAACTGCCCGACCACTAATCTCAGTTGTTCTCTTGAGTATATTGAACTTCAGTCTAAAATCAATTCTAGCATAAATAATCCTCTTCTAGCAGAATACTCAAAAGATGCTTTTATTTTCGTTTCATGTTTGGCAAACAAAAACAAAACAAAAACAAAAGACCTCTGCCTTTAAACGTTTCATAGACTTTTTTATTGCTCAGTGAAACAATATAAAAGCTTTTTAGTATCAAATCCTGGCAGTTCAGCAACTTTTGCCATGTTAATGGTTCCTGCACAATTCTTAGTTTGAGTCTCACTTTATTTTAAAGTAGTCAGGAATTTGGTAATTAGCTGAGCCCTTTGTAAAACAACATCATTCAGACAGATCAGAATCTCTAAGTTACAAGAAATGTCATTCACAATCAAGCTGAAAAACAGGAGCTAGCGGGCACCACAATTTCCACATCAAAAGTTTAGCTCCCTTTAACTGTAAGAGGCTCTGTCCACATACTGAAAAGAAAACATTTAAGGAGCATGTCGTCTTTTTCCATCAAGCATTAAACATCTGTGTTAAGATATAATTAGTAACGTGCTGTAATCCATAAGGTTCTGTGAATACCTGCAGCAAGTAACAGTGCACTGAGTGACTAATATAAAAGATATAGTACAAAATATGTAAGAAGGATATTCTACAATATATATATATAAATATATATATTTCAGTGGTGCATAAATCAGTTGTGGTTTATTAAAGTTACCTCCACGATTACACAAAATCCAAAATACTGTGTCAGTACTTGCTGAAATATTTGAAGGTCAACCTACTCCTATACCTTAAAGATGAACTGCAAAGTGCTACAAAATAAGTTACAAAAAATGTTTAAAATGACAAATCAATAACTGTGCGCATCTGCGTGCACATAAATATTCTGAATCAGAAAGAGCTATCTTTTAAAAAATGAAATATTTCAAAAATCACCTGCCAAATTCCAACTCTGCAAGTTTGTTTTTTCCCTGCCAAAAGAAAAAGGATCAGGTTCTCACTCCATTTATTTGGCAATTAATTGTGACTATATAACTGAAATATGCTGACTTTGTCCCAGCATAACATAAGACTGGAATCTGGGCTACTGGGTCAAGCTCTGCTCTTCATCCAGTTTATGCTTGATGCAACTCCACTGACTTTAGTTCAAATACTGCTGATCTAAATGATTCATTATTGATTTAGAATCAGCCCAATGGCATCAAAAATTACTTAAGCAGGGTAAGAGATAAGGAAGAAGTCTGAGAAAAAAATATTTAAAAGAGAGTTAAAAGGGACTCAGTTAACAGAAGAGAAAGGCAGTAACTCTATAAAATAAGACCATTTCCACAAAGACGTAGGGAGGAAAAAAGGCAGGCCTTCTTAATGTTCTCCTGAGGAACAGCAGAACACTTGCTGACATCTACTTCAAACAGTGACTATGATGGATACCCTTAAATGCTGCCATCCCTCCCCAAATCGCACGGTATGGGCAGGGTGACCAAAGACACCATGGTACCTAGGTCACCACTAGACTCCCAGCTCTGCCCTCTTCTTTAACGTGGGGAGGAAAACACACCTTTGGGATAGATTTTGGAGAAGGGAAGAAAATACTGTAACAATTGCAGCTCCCCTTCCGTAACCAGTGACATAGAAAGGAAATACCTCACTACATAGGCCCAGAAGAATGCAAATGTGGACACGTTTTTTAACTAATAAGGCGCTTCCCCAAAACTTCAGCATAGCTGGAAGAAAAAACGTGGACATAGGAGAGACTGCAGAGAACATAAAGAAAAAGTCAGAGACTAGTATTCTCAAAAGGCAAAGAGAGAGTAAGTTCATGAAGACAGAAGAGAAGAGGACAGGAAGAAACAGCCACTCAGCCAGTATACAGTACTCTAGAATGAGAAGCATGGTGTATACTGAAAAAGACTGCAGCAAGAAAAAGACAGTGCTTCAGAGGAAGAGTGAAAATGGCTGAAATTGAAAAGCAAAAACAATGAAAAGAAATCACAGAAGGGACAAAGCAATATCTACCATCTCTTCTTTTTTTACTAAATGTTATCGTAAGGAATTAGAATCAAACCAAATCTCAGAAAGGTAACCAAAATTCATTGAAATATACAGGTTTATCTCCATCTTTTTCCACTAGCCTTTGTAAGTAATTTCCAGTTAAAGAAAAAACAGAACCCAAAACTTTGTCTTTAACAATTTCCTAAATTGAAAAGATCAAATTATAAACTCTGGATCTGATAACTAAATAGCACAAAAATGAATCTCTAACCTTATATCTAAATGCAGTCCCTGTTCTTGCAAAATGCTTATACCTTTGCTTAGCTTTACTCATTATAGTACTCTTCTTTGAACAGTCAAGAACGCCTGTAAGTATATAGTCTGAAGGACCAACAGTAGAGCTTGTTACTCTTGCTCTTGGCTCAGATTCAGCATTCCGGCCTACTGAAGATTTGTACACTTACCCAAACTTAAGGACCATATTGAATAAGCATGGTCTAACTGAATGTGTGGCACTTAAGTGATGGCACTGATTCAAAACCCAAAAGCACTAATGCACAGTATTGTCCCCTTTATGCATACAATTCATGCTCTCCATAATCTTCCTTGTAAAGCCAGTGGAACCACATACATAAATAAGATTTGCAGGGTCAAGTCTGCAATTTGCTTTAGGACTTAAGGCCGTATCCTGAAAATATACAAGAATTTAAGTATGCGAGCTTTCCCTCTGAAATAAGTGGGATTACACATACACACACACACTCAGATTAGGCATACGTGGAAGAGTTTTGCAGAGACAGTGAATAAAATAAAAGCAACTTTGCAGTTCACCTTTGATAAATATTATTTATAAAAACCAACACCTTTCCAGTTAAGTTCAAACAGGAAAAAATCTGATAGAAGAAACAATGTGACGTAATTTCATCTTAATGTCATTTTGAAGACACAGTAAGAACAAGGCGATAGAAAAGAGTGTGATTGATAGCTTATTTCTGGACTTTCTTGGGTTTTATAGCTGCCTCAGGGCTGGCTTTGCCCTGCTGTTGCAAAAACAGCTACTGATTTCAACGTACTTCTAGAGTTCTCCAAACATAACCATTGTCTAAAAGAGAAGTCCAAGGGAGGTGGCATTTCACTGGGTAAGAACACTGTCCACTCCCTAGTGTGCAGCATACAGCTTCCACAAACAAGCTCAACAGCCCCTCTCTCATCTTTTCCTTATTTCATTTACCCATCCAGTGGGATCTTGAAAAAAAACAAAACCTAAAAGAAACAAAATAAAATATGAGAAATCATGCTTTAAAAAAAAAATCAAAGAAAAATTAATACAAAGGACCAAAAACAAATGAGTACTTGACAATCAAACATATAAACATAAAATGCATTTTAAGCATACATAAAATGTTAAATAAAAACTGTACACGATTTTATGAAAAAGACAACATTAGCTCTATCTTGTGGTAAGAATTTTATTAATTAATTAAAACATATAAGGCCTGTCATTCCTCTTTAACACATGAAAATACTCATATTAAGCTGTAATGCAATACATCTAGTATTCTCTAACCAGGGGCTATATTTTGCATGGGCAGGAAAACAGTAGCCAGGCGCGCTGCCTTGTGCAAAGGCCTACAGAGAACAAGCCTCAGCACACAATCAAGTTCTGTCTCCTTGGGCTTTTCCATTCATTAAGCGAAAGGAACCCAGCTATACCACAGAGTTACTGTGAATATAACACCAGGTTCCTCCGTAATCACTGCTTCAAGCCTTAGATCTAAGTGCGCAATCCCCTCTGCCTGCTCCAAACAGGTTCCTGCCCTTAATGTCATCAAATGACTTCACAAGGGCAGAAAAAAGTGGAACTAGGGGAAACACTAGTTAATTATCTTATAATTAATTGATTGCTTCCAAATATAAACAGGAACTTAAAATATCAACAACTAAAGGTAATGAAACACAAGTAAAAGCCCCAGGTCATGTTTTGTTCCCAGATGAAGAAACCACATGAACCTATCTCTTAGATGTTACCTGGCTGTTTAAGGCTAATAATGTTAAAAAAAACTCTTGTCTGGCCCTGTATTGAATACAACTATCTGACTCTACATCATAAATACTTCCTAGAACAGTATTATCTTACCCAGTCTGTTGTTATCTGACGCAGTTGAGTTATTATGTACATCACTGTTGACAGTCACCATTACTTGTTCTAATGACATTTGAAAAAAAAACATGTGAGTTGCGCTATTTTCCTGCAAACATAAACTTCATCAGCAGTCCTGTTTGTTTTAACACACTTCATTAAGTTCAGAATGCATATAAGAGCTGAAACTTATCTTCGTTCCACATCGTTCTAAACAACCCAAGATTCAGGGCCAAATCTTGATCTGCCTTAAGTCAACGGGAGTTCTGCTACCATTTTCAAGAGAAGCTGAATTTGACTGCAAGTCATTAAGCAACAATGACTAATTCATTTACATTGCATTTTCTTGCTGATTTTAAGCTTGAGGCACTCCTAGTACTTCCACCTTGGAAGTAGATGATGGCACACTCAGAAACTGAATATGCTCGCTTTGAGCCACTGCACATTTCCAAAAGGGTGTGGGCAAAATTCCTTTTCTCTGAAACAATTGATAGGATTTAGAGTAAGACGCCAACAAAAACAAAGACTTGGCTAATTCCCAGACACAAGTACAATATCAGTGCAAGTGTGTACCATTTCAGAATTGCCAGGCTTCTGCACAGGGACTGTTTTTACTGGAGGGGAAGGCTCTAAGCTTGACTGACATTGAGAAGATGAGTTTTGTAAGGTCATATCCACGTATAGCAACGGATAACTTAAGAACTATATAGAACTACATTATTTTTGGAATCTATGCTCTTACTGCAGCTTAGATCATTCAGGTCCTTTTCTAGTTCTATTGCTTCCTCTCACATACATTGAGATCTTAAATGGAATTAATATGGCTTTGCCACACTGCAGGAACATGAAATTCCCAGCGGGAGAATTCAAAACCATATCACTGAAAATCCAGGTCATCACATGAAGTATTAACATCCCAGCCCTAGAAGTCTACTATAATGCTAAGAAAAATGCACGCTTGTAAAGTGTTTTGACCTTCATGATCATCTATGCGTGCTGCAAACTATCTGACAGAGTTGAGGATCTGTTTCTACAAGTTGTACAAACGTGACAGGCTTTTCCAGGCCTTTCTGCAGTATTTCTACTAAGTGGCTGTGCTTAATCACTATCTCCCAGGTAATTCTATGAGGATGTTTGGAAGTTAGGGGTTAGAGGGAAAAAGAGAATTACCATCAGGTTTTTGGTAATCTAGCATTTAAAAATACTGCATGGCTGCTACCTTCCCTTCAAATTTCCTACGCTATTCAGACTCTCTCTGTGGGTTTTTGTTTTGTTAAATCTGTGACTCATACATATAAAAGTGTCTGTGTGTGTGTTCTGTATATGAGTATATCTACGTGTGTAGTAACTATATATATATTATATACAAACACACACACACACACACACACACACACACACACACACATACTTTTTTTTTCTCCACAAACATACACTTCTACACCACATTTTTAACATGAAGGAAAATTACTGCAAGTGAGAGATTTCTGACAATGGAGTTTGTGTCTTACCTGTTCTGGTACAATCACTGTGCAACCAGAATGCATTGTTTAAAGTCACTTGTGAATTTTCATCTGATAAGTTATTAATTGATGAACTACAACTCAGTGCCCAGTATTATGCAAAAAATAAGTAGAACATAGATTGGCTTATATTCTTAGCTACATCAGCATGTAAATTAGTTAACTCTGGTAGTCAATAGCAGCGTCCAAAATCAGTATGGAAGAAGAACCAGACCTCGCACCCTGACCTGAAAAGCCTACAAGAGTCAACAAGCCCACAGAGGAGTCCTGCAAGTCCTATTGAAGGCATGGGAATAAATCACAATAAATGAATATTTTAAAGGAAAAAGGTTTAACAGTCTAAATCACATTCACACATTACTTAAAGCGCTCATGGGCACAAAAATCCAGTCATACTTATCCAGCTGTAACACAGAGCCAAAACTGAAAGGGCATTCCTCGTATCAGTTAACTTATCCTTTTCCCCAGCCAGAAACAGTGCAATCGGAAACTTTTTCCAGCAACTCATTAATTTACCATAAGCATAGTTCAACTCAACTTCAAAATCTGCAAATTTCAGGACAAATTCAATGAACCCTTTCCAGTCAAATCCAAATCCTAAAGGCCAATTTACAAGCAGACGGAGGAGTTGCTGCACTTCTACTAAATGACCAAGTAGTCATGACACGTATTCAAGGTGTTAGAGACCTCCTGAATGCCCAAACTATTTCATCTTTCCTATTATTTCTTTTGCTTTTCTTATGTGTTCCCTGACAAAAAAAGAAAGTCTTGTTTTGGGTTTAATGAAGCATTCTGTGAAGACTGAAATGAAATCAGGCTTCCATTTTGGTGTAGAAAACAAAATAAAACAAAAAAGGTATTGACTTTATTCACTGAAACACAGAAAGCAACCAGGTGAAGTATGTCAAAAACAAAAGGACACAGATAAAAATGTAGAAGAATTACTGCAGAGGGAAAGGCTCTGATAGGGGAAAGGTGAAATGGAGCAAAGAAAATGGGCTGAAGTGTAAAGATACAGACACTGAATAGGAGCGTTTTTAAAAAAAATGGTTCCAATGAAATTTTTTTTTTAAGCTACAAACCCACTAAGCAGCAGGCAATCTGGACTTAATTTGTGCACTAGCTCTCTGACTGTTTGGAGTAACTGAACTAATACAGGTAAAATATTATGGGCAGCGGGTAGTTAGAAGATAATTTGTCATGTCCTAACTGCCAAGCTGTTGACTTGTTTCTCAGAGTTCGAAAGGAGTTAGTTGGGCAAGTTGAGGCAAAAACCAGTTTTGGCTCGAGCTCCTGCCAAGGCACTGGATTCTGGGTTTAATATTAGTTAAAAAAAAAAAAAAACTGCAGTTATGAAAGCTGCCACTCACACTTGCAGAAGAAAGTACTCTGAAGAATAAAAAAAAATAACTTGAAATAAAAGTAGAAGAGAGAAAAATAGCCATCCATCTTCCCTTTGCAAGGAATGACAAAATTTCATTCATCCTTTAAGGGAACATTATGTATCTGTCTCTCTCAGATGCAAATGTCTCCAAGACAATAAAGAACATAAGTAGTTTAAAATATAACGTGGCGATAGTTTAGTTCCTGTATCAGCTCCTCATTCAGAATGTTTTAAACTCAGCACTGGATTCATGATTAGTCTTAAAACAAATATTATAACCGTTTTGCAATACATTATTCTAGGGACAACAAATTTGTGTACAAATGCTGCACCCCTCAAAGACAGAATGCTACATAAGGTATAATATGAATTGCGTTATTAATATGGATCCATTTGAGTCACTATTGAGAGTTTTTTTTAATATTACAACTGATTTTGTGGAAGTACCACAGCTGACTTTAACTACACCATAAGCTTTGCAAATCTGTACCTCACATAGCAGACGGTCTGTCACTTCCTAAGGTTTTGTTGTCATTAGCAGCTGGATAAAATGCCTTTAAGATCAATTCCTTTGAGCCTTTCTGTTCATTTTATTACTTTTAATAGTTACATGGTTCACAGAAAGAAAAGCAAAATAGCAAAAAAAAAAAAGTAAATATACATACTGAACTCATTCTTAAAGAAAAACTTATCATAAATACCATCCTTCTCATTTGTGAAGAAGCTAATTTTTTCCTCCTTGTACTGGCACTCAGCAGAGATCTGAGTAGGTAATGGAATTGTAAGACCTAATGCATTTCCTTGTTAGATTTGGGAGCATGATTGGTATGGGGTCTGTCATGCACCCATGGGGTCAGTTTCTACCAGTCTCAGGCAACCTCTAGCATGCCAGTACTCACAGCCCATGCTCCTGCAAGTCTCCACTTAAATCACTCAGCATGGAAACTGTCATGACATGACTGTCTTCTGAACTTCCTTGCAAAGCAAGAAGATAAACTTTAGTTGTCCGAGCTCCTTTTTACTCCAACAGAATATGAAACAATATATTCCCATGACTTCTACATAAATTAGAGGTCTAAAAGTGAATTCTCTTGGTCATTTCAAAACTGATCTGAACCCTGCCAGTGCAAATAAAAGATTTCTGTAACGATAACTTAATTGAATTCAGAACTTAGTTTTCATATACTCACATCCTGCTCTCCAAATATGTTTCTGAGTGTCTGAGGAGCTGCATAAATTCAGAGATCACGTATGTAAACCCAAGTATTCATGGGAAAACACAAGCAAAATAAACGCTGTGCAATTAAAAGTTCCTAAGATGTTATGCCTCATTATGCTTTCTCTCTTCACCGAGTACCTATGGTTTATCCTAAACAGAGTGTTACTTGGTGCTTTGATCCAAACACAGTATTTTGAAACAAAAATCAATTCACATTTTCACTTTTTCCAGCTTGGAAGCAATCAAGTATAAGATGACATGTATCTGTAAGCCCTTTTAAATGAACAGTGATTTATATGGAGAAAGTTCAAACTGCTGAGTGGAAGGGAGGAAAGCAAAGAGAAGAAAGATGTAGCTGCATTACTTAAAAAGGTATTCTTATCAAATCTGTTGGTTTCTGATTTTAAGTAGAAAATTAAATGAAATAATTCATTCCCGGTTTGCTGCTTGGACTTGAGACACTGCTTCAAGCAGCAGCGCGGGCTAATGCTGAGAGAAAATGTCACCTCATTTTTATTGGAAAGCAAAGAGAGCCTCTTGGATAGGTTTCTGGAGAATGTTTATTGCAAAAAGAAGAATAATGTCCTATTTGATTAGAGCGATGACTTCACAGCTGCAGAAGATAAAGTTGTCTGAAGAAAACCATCTTTTTTCTTCAGGATTCTACATGGATCAGAGCACCTTTGCAACCTAAACATTAACAGTAACTTTTTTTTTTTTTAAGAAAATGTTCTGTACATCTCATGAAGTGCTATGATAGTATTTTTCATTCATGTCATTAGAAACTCTGATGATAAAAAAGAAATTATTTTTTATCTAAAGGTAGAAGCTTGGATAGAAAACAAACAAATGAAAACCTAAGAGCTAAACACAGAGACTTGGACACACTCTACCTTATTAGAGGCCTGGAATTCCCAGAAGAATCTGGATCTGAATTTTA